CCCCAAAACCCCAAAACCCCAAAACCCCAAGCTGGTTTAGCAGTTAGTTTTTACATTAGCAATAATGTATTCCTCTTTGTTGGTCAAGGGTTGGATAAGTTTCAAGCAGAAATATGGCTTTGTGGAGCTATTTTCCTTCTCAGTTATTAGTTTTTGTTTAATATCACTCATCATAGCAGGGTCAAAATCATCTGGTTTCACTCCAATGAGTTTTTCTATTGCTCCAAATGCGATTCATTTAAGATACTATATAGATAAATAATATGGGTAGCTTACCTTGCTGCTCTTTACATGCTGGATAAGAAACTTGCCTTTATAAAATTTGCTCTTGTGGATAGCAAATCCTTTACATTTCTTGCATCGTCCATCCTTTGGGAGTTTGTACTCATGAATAGTACATCCAATGTAAGTAGAGATCTTAGAAATTCCTTTAAACCTACAGTTGTAGTATTTTGTACCCCGAATAGGACTTCAGCTCAAGGAGTTATCAGATCTTGACTGATAGTTTGGCATCTTCGACACAAAACTTTCAATATTCTTTGAGAAATATCTTTTGTGCATTCTAGATTGCCTCTTAAAATTTTGGGGCTTAGAGTAAGCCTGGTTATTTAAACACTTTTCTTCAAGAATTTTAGGATGGCTAGGATGATCTTTACTGACATCTGTAAACTTCACATCATAACTAGTCTAAAACTTCTAAACAATCCTCATACCTCCTTTTCTTCCTCAAAATCATGCTTCACCTCTCTACCATCTTTCTTCTGCTCAATCTCCTCTTTTTGACTCTAAAATTTCTAACACAAACATACAATTTCCTGTTCCTTCTGTTTTCAGGAGTCATCTTTCCCTCTAAAACTCTTAATAATTGTATTCCCCATCCTTTCTCTGCTATTACTAGACTTGGCTCTTGATTCATCATATTTACCAACAGAGTCGATACTTTTGACCATCTTGAAATCATCTGTGGAGGAGATTAATGATGAATGTACCAACTATTGAGGTTGACTGGTCTATTAGAGATGGATGCTGGAGGAAGGAGGGAAAGGCTTTAGGGAAGCTGGGGCTTGAGGATCTGTATCAGGCTTGCATGTCTTGCTTTGGGGTTGTAGATTGTGTTATAGGATTTGTCTAGGGTAAGGATGAAGGGAGATTTACTTTGAGGGAGTTGGACGGAGGCTTTGCGTAATTTTGAGCTGAAAAGAGATTGTTGTTGGAATTTTGAGGTGTGAATATTGGATTGTGGATTTTTGGAAGTAGGATGGAAGATGTAGGAGCTTATATATTTTTAGAGGGTTTAGAATCTCATTGTATACTCTCATGTTTTTTATTTTCTTCTGGGAGATTAGTTTGAGCTCAGTTCAAGAGATTTTTGTTGCACTTTTTATTGGCGAAGGTTGGGGAATGTGAGCATTCAGATGATTTTCTGAAAGAGCTTTTGACACTGATTTCACTATCGTCTTCGTTTTCCTTAATAATTTCAGATGTTTTTGATTTTAATAAAGCTAAATCAATTCGATGAGTGCTTTTTGACTGCTTTTGTTTAATATTCTGCCTTTCTTGAGACATTTCAGGAGTCTTGGAGAACTTCTTGTAAAAGTTAGAAACCGATGAATTATTTCTTTCTGGTCTAAAAATAACATTAAGCCCTCACCTCTCACCAATATTTGGTTTATTTAAGAGTATAAGTCGGACTAGCACTGCAGCTTCTAATTATTTTTAGTATAATCTACAAGCCCATGAAGTCTTTTGACAATTTTCTCAGTTGTCTCTCATATCTTATCAACATTTTGTAGCATAATGTACACATAATCATTTTGGTATTCACAGAATTTTCCAACATTAACACGAATAATATCATTCTTAACTAGAGTGGGGAAAACTCTTCAAGCAGAGTTTTCCACTCGAGCCTTAATCATTGTTCTTGAATCTAAAATATTGTAAAAATTAGAAGAAAGACTTACCTGAGAGGACAAGGTCATATTTTCGACTGTACCTCGATGTCTTGTTTATTTCTATCACCTGTGGGATATCACCAATGTACATACTTGAAGAAGTTCTCTAAAGATCTTATCTCCAGATTTGTAAGAACACAAATACTTGTCAAAACTAGATGCTGTGCTCATTTCTGCTGATTATATGTAACACTTACTTTTCTCAAGGAAACCTCATAAAAGGTTATAGCAGATTGTCTGAGGTTATAGCATTAAAATACCTTATCTTTGATCATTTTCTTAATTCAAATATTTCATTTTAACGTTCATTAAATGGGGTTTTGGGGTTTTGGGGTTTTGGGGAG